GTGACTTGCCCAGGATCACACAACTAGTAAGTGTCTGAGGCCAGATTTGAATTCAGGAGGATGAGTCTTCCTAACTGCAGGCCTGGCACTCTATACAATGTGTCACCTCACTGCCCTATTATCCCTACTGTACAGAAACTGAAGTAGACTTACAGGTAAGAGACTTGCCCAGGGACATACTGCTAGTAACTACTAAAGCAGGAGTCAAACCCACATCTTCCAGTGAGCAGCTTTAGCCCTCTATCCACTGCCCCCTGTAGTGGACTCTCAATTTCTTGGGCATGAGATGATATGAAAACAGTGTTTTAGGACAGCTGGCCTAGCTGGCCTAGGTCTGTAAAAGGGACTGAAGAAAGGAAAGATTAAAATCAGCTAGAACACCATGGAAATATATTGTAGCTAATTGTGAATATGTCCTTTCTCTCCTAACAAATCAAAAGATAAGATGAGGTGAGGTCAGTACCTATCTGTATCTTATTCATTTTTGTATCCTCTATTATATGGAAACCAATGTCTTGAACATAAGCACTCAATAAATGTTTTTTGGGTGAATAAATTAGATCCTAGACTGGGAAATAATAGTGGGAATGGAAAAGGAATATATCTGTGAGGTGGTTCCAGAGAAGAAATGACAGAACTTGGTGATAAGTTGAATCTAGAAGATAAAGAATGGTAGAGAATAGAAGATACTTAATCTAGAAAAATGGAAAAGTATGATACCAAAGATGGAATAAGGTTCTTGGGAAAGAGAATTTCATGGGAAAGTTAAGTTTAATTTTAAACATATATATGGAACTAGAGGAAAAGTCAGCAAAACTGGAAACTCAAAGTAAATCCATGAGTATGTACAAAAATATAAGATGTCCACATTAACAAAACAAGAGATTTGAAACAATTCAGCCTCAGAAAAAGAAATTGAGTGAGCCACAAATGAATTGTCAAAGGTGGAGGGAAGGAACATTGGACCAGATAGATTTCAAAGTGAAAGCTATCGAATATTTTAAAAGCAATGAATACTTATGCTACATAAATTATTCTCCAAAGTAGACATAGACAGCGCTCTATCAAACTCCTTTTAGGGAGAGAAATACAGTCCTGAGAGGTGTCCAAAGCAGAGACAAAAGAGAGAAAAAGGACAATCTCCCTAATGAATATTTATGCAATTTTTTAAAAAACCTCACAATCCTCACACACCGCAATGTATGCAGAAAATAATTTACTATGACCAAGTATAGATACAAGAATAATTCAACATTAGGAAAACAATTAGAATAATTAATCATATAAATGACAAAGATAATAAAAAACAAATGATTATTTCAATAGATGCACAAAAAGCCTTAGACCAAAAAAAAAATAGCTCATATTTATGTTTTCTTAAAAAATAAAAAACACAAGTATGGAAGGACCCTTCTTCAATATAATCAAAAACGTATTTTCAAAACCAAGAGCTGCTTGCAATGGAGAAACACTAGCAGCTTTTCCAATAGAAATAGGGAAAAAGCAAAGGTATTCTCAACCTCCCCAATTATTTGACATAATTCTACAAATATTGTATCTCTAGCAGAAACACAATAAAATAAAATTAAAGATATAAACATTAGCAAAAAGAAGACAAAATTATCTGTATTGACAGCTGACATGATGTACTTAGAAGATAGAGAATCAGCAAAGGAACTAATTGAGATGATTGATAGCTTTAGCAAGGTAGCAGAATATAAAAGAAATCCACAGAAATCATTAGTATTTCTGCAAAGTACTAAGAAAATCCAGGAAAAGAATTAAGGAAAAATTCCATTTAAAATATCTATAAAGTACATTAAATACCTGGCAATTCATCTATCAAGATATATGCAAGATTCATATAGATAAAACTACAAAACACTCTTTACAGAAGTAAAGGAAGATTCAGTGTTCATGTTTGGGCCATGCTAATATAGGAATGAATGAGAATGCAACTCAAATTACAAATTTACTTTTTTATTAATTAAATTACTGAGGAGGTACCTTATAGATAAACTATACAAAATAATAACAAAATTCATTTGGAAAAACTATAATCTCAAGGAAGAAATAATGAAAAAAAATACAAATGAGAGAAAGGGGTAATAGCATTGCCAGACCTAATATTATATTGTACGACAGTTGTCATCAGAATTATTTGGTAGTCAGTCAGTTAATAAACATTTATGAAATGCCTACTATATGCCAGGCACCGTGCTAAATGCTGAGGATACAAATTTGAAAAAGGAAAATAAAAAAAGAAAAACAGCCTGTGCTTTCAAGGAGATTACAGTCTAATGCGGGGAAGACAGCATACAAAAAGAAGCTGAAAACTAGAGATGAGAGTCAGGAAAGGTACCCACACAGGATGATGGAGAAGTCCCAAAGCAGTATAGGCAAGTGAGGAATGAAGAGATCTGGGCTGAGGTCCCTCCCCAAATGGAGGTTTGGAGTTCCAGTTCTCACCCTCCAATCAGAGAGGCACGGGGTAGTGATGAAGTGGAGCACCAAGGCTGCTGGAATCTGTTAAGATGAGAACGTTTCACAATGATGAACCTTCTGTAGCTGTAGTAGGGGATGTCCCAGAGTAGTTCAGCCAGATGAGAAATGAGATGTTAAAAGCACAGAAGTAGCCAGTGAAACAGAGCAGATAAGTAAGAAACTGAAGAAATTGAAAATAGCGATCAACTGTTTGATAAATCCAAAAACATAAATTACTGGTAAAGACTTGCTTTTTGACAAGACCTATTGGGAAAAATTAGAAAATACGTTGACAGAAATAAGGTTCAGACAAACATATTATGTAATAATAATAAATAATAATAATATTTATTAAGCACTTACTATCTGCCAAGCATTGTGTTAAACACATTGTAAATATTATCTCATTTTATCCTCACAACAACACCAGAACATGTGTTATTATTTTTATTTTTTAGTTGAGTCAACTGAGGCAGAGATTAAATGATTTTCCCAGGGTCACAGAGTAAGTGTGAAAAGTGGGATTTGAATTCAGGTCTTCCTGACTCCAGACCCACTGCTGTATCTGCTGTACCACCTAGCTGTTTCTAGTGACCTAGGAACAAAGTGGGTAACTATTTCTTGAAGAATGGCAAAAAACAAAAGCAACAAACAACAATGTTTTACAGTATATGAATTTAAAGTTACTCATATGAAGAAAGGGAGGAAATAAGCATTTTTTAAGTGCCTACAGGCACTTTACAAATGTTTCAGTTTGATCTAAGGAATTGAGAGAAATGTGTGAACTGATACAAAATAATTGCACTGCATACTGTGACAATAAACATGTAAATGTAAATTTTTTAAAAATGAGTAAAATGAAGTGAAACTCTGCACAATGAAAAAAAGCAAGGAAAGTCCTGGAGAACAGATAATGTATACCCCCCACCCACTGCCCCTTACAGCAAAGAGATAGAGGACTACTAAGACAAAATATTGACAGAAGTAACTGTATCAGATATTTTTGCTTAATTTATTTTGTCATGGGGGAAGGGTAAATATTGAGCAGTCTCAAAATGACTATAATATCAAGATAAAATACGAAAAATAAAATTAAAGATAATGAGAAGAAATTGAAGCTACTATGGAAGCTAGAACGCTAATGCAGTAAATAGAGCATTAGACCTGAGTTCAGATGTGGCCTTTGACACTTTCTTTGTGACCCTGAATGAGTCACTTAGCTTCTGACTCAGTTTTCCTTTCTGTAAAGTGGGGATGATAAAAGTACCTGCCTTCCAGGAACATTGTAAGAATCAAACAAGGTAATATTTATAGAATACTTTTTTTTTTTGGTCAGTTACTTATGTTTGACTCTTTGTAATGCCATTTCTGGTTTTATTAGCAAAGATGCAGGAGTGGTTTGCCTTTTCCTTCTCCAGTTCATTTTCCAGACAAGGAAACAGAGGCAAACATGAGTAAGCGACTTGCTCAGGGTCACCCAGCTAATACATGTGTGATGCTGGATTTGAACTCAGGTCTTCCTGACTCCAGGGCTGGCACTCTTCCCATTGTAGCTGCTCATAAAGTATTTTGCAAAACTTAAAGCTCTATATAAATGCTAGCCCATGCCTCCCCCCCCCCCAACACACACACAACGGAAGATAGAAAAGATGTAGGGAAGGTGAGAAAAGATAAGATCTAGACCACAGTGAAAAGAATCAGCTTTAGAGAGGAAGAAAGTAACCTATTCTTCTCATCCTGAAAGTATCCATTAGAATTTAAGTTTAGGACAATATTATAAAGACTGTGTACTAGACTGTGAGCAGAATGGATTAATTTGGAATCACCCTGGGAATCAGTGTGGCATAGCATAAATAGCCCTCTGGATTTTAAGTCAGAGGACCCAAGTTCAAATGCTTTCTCTGTCACTCATCTTGTGCGACCCTGGGCACTTAATCTGTCTTCAGTTTCCTCACCTTACCTCTGTTGTGACTGCCAGTTCTAAAACTAAGGTCCTGCAATCCTTTCTGGAGAAGACCAACTGTCTAGTTGACATTTGAGGACAGTGACTCTACAAGGGAATCCATAGAACTTAGGAGTCCTTATTCCTACTTCCATGCCCAAGATTCTATATGAAATGATTCATTCCCCCATCATGGTGTCTCACACTCCTGTAATACCTGCAGCTGGGGTGGCTGATGCTGATGGATCTCCTGAGCTCGGGAGTTCTAAGCTGCTGATGTAGGGCTGATGTCTATTGGGTGTCCACACTAAGTTTGGCACCAAGTATAGTGAGCTCTTGGGAGTGGAGGACAGCCAGCGTGCCTGAAGAGGCACCAGTCAGCCCAAGTCAGAAATGAAGTAGATCAGAGCTTCCAAGCCAACCGGCTGTGGAATTTAGCCTGTGAGTGGCTGCTGAGCTTCTAGCTTAGCTGACATAAGGAGACCCAGTCTCAAAAAAAAATAACAATAATAACGGAAATAATAAATTGTGCGCTCACTAATTTATAACATGTTTTTTCCCTTTGGTTTTTCAGATGAGTCCTTGAAGCTACACAATGGACCTCCTCATAATGCCTACATGGAACAGAGCTTTCAGGGCCTAAACCCAGTCCTCAATATCCCTATCAACTTAGCCCATGTGGAGCAAGCCCGGAGGAATGCAGCCACCACTGGCCCAAAGTTGGAGAGCTGGGTGGACTCGTTAGTTGGAGGAGTCTGGTCTACAGTGGATATCTGCACCATCGGGCCCACCGCCTGCCCTGTCATGCAAACATGCAGCCAAACTTCCTGGAGTTCCTTGAGTTCAGACCCCAAGTCTGAGCTTGGGGCCATCAAACCTGATGGTCGGCTGAGGTAGCATCTGGTCTGTAGAATTTAAAAGGGAATTTCACCCTGAGTACAGGGGATTCTGAAACCTCTTTCACCCCCAGCCCTCTCCCAATCAGCAGTTCCCAGGTGGGAACTTTTATATTCACAATCAGTGTGAGGTCTAGGGTTTAAGAACTAAAGTTGGAGCCTGGCATTGTTCTCTCTGCAAATAAGCTCAGGAGATTGGTAGATTACCCCACCCTGGTCCTAAGGCAATCTTACTTTTTTTTTTCCCATTTGCTTCTTTAAAGCTCTTCCCTTTGGCCAGATATCTAGATAGACCTTGAGTTCAGTCCTTTGTCTGGCCCCAAAGGATATGAGAATTTAAAGTAGCTGATAAAAATGTTCATTCCTCGGTCAACCAAAAAGCCCTTATCGATAATCATCAAATCCATCAGCATCACCCAGAATGCTAAGAGGGAAAAAAGGCCCAAAGTGATTTCCCAGAGGTTGAGGGTTCTCTACCACCCACTTAATAGATGGGTTATTTTTCTTTATAGCTCAGATGGGCATGAAATGATACTTGCCATATTTACTTTACAGTGATGGCCACACTTCCATACAAGCATAGCAGGTACTTGGTGCGTTCACAGGTGAAAATGCGAGGGTTTCAATCCTTTTAGCTGTCTGTGGCCATAGACGGATGGCAGAAGCTGGAACAATGACAATGGTTCAAACAGTTACCTCATGCAGTCTCTCAGATATTTCAGGCGATACTTGCTTGAATCTCTGAAGAATGGGAATTTGACATATGCAACTTGTTCGAGATGAATAAGACACTGGACAGAGCAAAGTCCCTTAACTGAAAATCAGAACAATGCCAGACACCTGCAAGTGTTCTTCCATTTCCAAGGCCAAACCTTGCCAGGTACATGATTGGTGCTTATTATGTGTGACCAAATTGCATGATCTAAATTTTTTGACCCAGAATATTTTGAAAGCCCTTTTCCAACCAAGTTTTTAAAGATACCTGCTTTCTTACAAGCAATGCTAAATGGAATACCTTACATAGATCGTAAGGATAAGATTGGAGTTTGGATCTTCATTTATTTGGGGGTATTTGGATCTTTTTTTTTTCAGTTTCTAATTACTTGTGTTGCCAGAAAGGTCAAGGTTTTCCTTTAGTTCAACAAAGTGAATGTCCATGACAAGCAAAGCAAGGAACCATCCCATGAATGGCCTTCCCATTCAGACTAGAGAGAAGTAAGCCATTAGAGTGACACCTCCATCATCCTCTCCCACTCCCTGAGGGGAAATTCCCTTTTAAAAACTGCACACTTGGTTGCAAAAATGACCTAAACAGAGCACCCAGCCCTTGTTCTGTTTCTTTCCACAGTGTTGGTTTGAAGCTGCTGAAGTTTGTTTTGGACTTGAAATAGTGAGATCAGCTATGCTGATGTTATGTCAAGAGCATTAAATGTTGTATGGAGCCAGGGATGCAAACAAGGACGCATAGAAGGAACACTTTAGATATTTATTATTTATGTGTTTTAGTCAATGACTAATTAGTAGGTGCTGTTTTTTGCAGCTTGACAATTATGTTATCTTACTAACTAAAGCTGCCTTTATTCACAAAAGGCTCCCCACCCTTTCTCAGCCCCATCCCACTCCCAAGACGCATACTCTTCTTTTTTTGCTATGTTCTCAATTGTGATTGTTGCTGGCCCAGGGGTGTCAGGAACACTTGGTGTGTTTCCACCCATATTGTCAGCAGGAAACAGATTCATTCTCTCCCACATTAACAGTAGGCTGATGCCCTCCAAAATGTTCTAGCCAGCCCCTAGTGAAAGCAGTAGGTCCTCCCAATCCAAGCCCGGAGGGCTCTGGACCTCTTACTCTGTGTCTTATAGCTTCTCCCCAAAGCCAGGGAGGTGCCTAGAGACTGCAGCTCATCCACTCTGGACCTTTCTTTCCCTTTCAAACCTTGTGTTATGGATCATTCCTGTCTCCTGTCCATTTGCTGATGAATATTGTCCAGCAGATCTCACTTCTAGAGCCCAGATTTGAAGTGAGATCACAGGAGAATGGTATAAGAAGGTTAGTTCGTCCTATGTGTGAGGCTGACTGGACAAAATTGAATTGTCTGTGTGGAAGTACTTCTATTCCTTGGTCACTGAAACAAAGGGGCTTTCAGAAACCTTAGGCTCAGTTTCACAGAAGTCCCATATTGCTTATGTGTCAATACATAATCAGTTGTGCAAGAGGTTAAAAACTTCAAAATCAACATACTTCTCTACACACAGTTTCTCTGTGGAAATATGACAGCAAGGGCTTTACTGAACATTCTGGTTTTTAAAGCAGCAAAAATAACAAAACTTTTCTATAACCTCTCAATCAGCCAGCTCAGTATCTGTATTTGTAACAGTATTATTTGTGGTGACTTTTAGGCCTGAGCCTGATTGTGTCAGCGTGGTTGATATCAGCCTACAATCACCCAGAAGTTATACCTATTACGCTCAATGACATTTCTGACTTTTAAAATCCTGGAATGAGTGGAGAAACCCCAGAGTTAGTTCTGGGACAGTCCAAGCTGTGAATTTCTTCTTAACTCCCCATTCATTCTTCTGTAGGAAAATAGGTTGGGATGTGGAACACCCATTGGAGTTTTCACATTTTGGGACCAGAGAATATATCTTTGTAGATGTTACATTTGGTGAAAAGGAGAATTCTAAATGAGAGCCAAATTGCACCAAGACTTCATGAAAGCATTTTTCCAAATGAAAACATTCAGCCTGTTTCTCACCCCTACCCAGAGACTGATTTGATTATTTTGAGAACCCATTGGAAAAGCCACATTTCTTTGGGCACAAGGTTTTGTTTGCTTTGGGAGTATTTGCCCTGGAATCTGCTCTGAACTTTCAATGCAGAGCAGGGTGTCTGGGGGAATTACTGTTGATAACTGGCTGAAGAGATGGTTTATGAGATCAAAGAATAGGGTGGGGGTAGGGTGAGGAGTGAAGGAATCTAAGCTTGCCTTTGTACCCACATATTGGTAGATAGATGGCCCCTTAGACAAATTTTTACTAACCCTCTTAGTCCAATTTAGACAGAAGGAAATCCCCAAGCAAGTTGTGCCTTCCACCACTTGCTTCCTATTTTTGGACCTTTAATCCAGAATTCATCCCAGTGATCTGCAAGCATGTGGACAGAGTAGTTCCAGTCACATCAAGGAGAAGGGAAATAACTCAGTGTGGTTTTTCAAATTGTAGTGAGCCCTCCTCCAGGAAAGCACAGCCTTAATTGAGCAGAGAGGCTTTTATTTGAAACAGTGGATTCAGGTTTGAGTGTGAACCATGGAATGTTAAAGCCAACATGCAAGATACAGGACACAAGGACAGGAAGTGTATAAAAGCAGCTCAGTGAGAGGAGGAGGCTCCATGCAAGGCCCACATTAGCACATACTTGTGAATTGTGAGCTAGTGCCCTTGGATACTGGCTTTATGATGCAAATGAGCCCTGTGGTTGTGTGGAGGCTTTCGTAAATCAGAGGGGGAGTGCCTGACCAAGAACACCTACCAGAGGAACTAAAAAACCGTATTTGGGGATGCTCACCCTTTCTCCCAGACTCTGTTCCTATGAAGGTCAAAACAAGTTGAAATAGAATTGGAATTTGATACTTATTGCTTTAAGAACATTAAAAAGATTTTTTTAAACTTATTCCCTTTGCAGATATAACCAGATTATAGTTTTAGGCTTTTGTTTTTAGTCTAGACCTGAAATTTTATTTGGTATAGGAAACTGAAAGTGAAAAAGCTCCCTTTATCCCTTTCTCTTCTGCAGCTTATAGTCTTAAGGGAGTCCCAAAAGGAAGCAGCTTACCCAGGGTCGCTTTTCGAGTATGTGTCAGAGCAGAGCTTGAACCCAGGTCCTCTTAACTCCAAGGCCAGCTCTCTATCCACTATGGGACACTACCATCCCCACATTCTGAATCTCTTTTTCCCTTGGCTTTGGGATGCTAGGAAAGGGATAGTTACGGTCCTCTAATAGCCACCCAAAGGTAACCACCATTTATTCCTGGTGAACATTGACAGCTGTGCTGACTAGTAGAAGGCAGTATCCCATAGGAGCTGTCAAAGAATTGTCAGTGTTGTCCAGAGCACCACATGTGCTATTCTGGCTGCCTGTCAGTCAGTCATGTATTTACATGCATAAGAATTTGCTGCTAAATAGAAAATCCTCACAGATCACAGCATTAAAAAATAGCAACAAAGAAAGGAAATATTAGGAAAGAATCAAGTAATTATTTTACCCTTCCTAGGACTTAGGAGACTTCTTGTATACATATACACACATGAATATGTGTATATGTACATCTATTGTATATGTGTGTGTGTGTGTGTGTGTGTGTGTATAGATATAGATAGATATATATATATATATGTACACATATATATTTATATATATATGTATAGATATAGATATATATCTATACATATATATTTATATATATATGAATATGTATATATACTACCCATCTTAAACGTACCATTGTGTTCATTCCAGTAAACAGTTTCTTCTAAAGAGAGAAAGGGGGAAAAAAAAGATAATTAGCATCAGCTCCCATTCCAAATTCCAGTGCTGTTGGTTGTTGTACTTCATGGCCCTCGTGGGAAATGATTCAAGATATACCCCCTCCCCAAATTATTCCCCTGAATGATTTGCTCCAGCCTGTAAATTTGGAAATAAAGATAAGGAGTTTGCCTGTGGTGAGTGCTGGCTGAGAGGCAAGAGCATGGTGGATAAAGAACCTTCCTTGGAGCCATGAAGACCTGGGTTCAAATCCTCTCTTAGATACCACCTATCTGTGCCACTAAGAGCAAGTGACTTAAGCTCTCAGTATTTCTCTCTAGAACTATGATTTGGTGGTCTGTACCAATGAAAGGAGTTTCCATGCCAGTGGTTTTTAATATGGATGAAATTACAGGTCCAGATTACATTATACCCGCATCTCTCCACCCCCCCCCCCCAACCACACACTAAAGTCATTGGCTATCTTTTTGGAAAATGGAGCCAATTCCAATTATGAAAAACAGCTGTTGAACAGCAGAGATTCTCCATTCTCCATTCCCAACCCCTATCTCTCATCCACTTTTATTGTGACAGAGTTCACAGGATTTGAATTATCATCAACCATCAGCAGCCATTGCTGTTATATATCCTACGTAGAAGCCTCCAGCCTTCTTGGCTGAGGATTTCTTGTCTTAAACAACTTTAAAATGAAAGAAAAGCTTCCAAAGTTACCAGGACAAAAGAGATAGGGTATAAGAGAAACTCATAAAACTCCCCCAGCCCCAACAGCAGAGACTCCTGTAACAGGTTTTATCTAGCATAGACATTCCAATCTGTAGTGTCCACCTAGTGGCAAAAGTATTCAGGCGTTTTTTCACTTCTTGGCTTGCTACTATCCAAGAACAGGTAAGACAGTAGAAACTAGGGCTGCCCTCTTGTTTGCACACAGCTGGCTCGTCTAGCTCAATCATCTGTTTTTTTGCTTCTGCCTCAGTTACCTTATTTTGCCCATGAGTTCTACCACAGGTGCTACCTCACAGTGTCTTTCTAAGAAGTTTACCTGAGGGAGGAAGGAGAAAAAGGTATCCGAAATCTCCTTGAGCTGAATGTACAATCTATGCAAATTCTCTGTTTCTCACTGTCAAACACTTCCAAGTATTACATATAACCTTGCCTAACTAACAGCAAGATCCTGTACAGGTTTCTCTGATGACAGAGTACCAATTCTCAGCGCGGTTAAATGCGCCCCCATTTGTATATTGTTAACGAGTTGTCTTTGGTTCTGTTGTCGCAAAGCCCCTTGAGGGAGACTGGGCCTCTCTGTCTGCAATGAGTCCCTTCCTCTTGGCTGGGAATATTTGGATTGCTAATGACTCCCCCACTCAATAGAGGTCTCTCTGCACCTGAAGAGCCCCTCTCCCCCTTCAAAAGGAAGGCCTGTGGCCTTACGGACTCCAGTCCCCTTCTCACTACTTCAGAGCATATCATTTGCCATCTCACAACACAATAAAGCCTTAGGTTCCTCCTTTTTGAAATGTGGCCTTAAAATCATGTTGGAAATGCGGATGTCATCTCACTCTTCGGATTTTCGCCCACATCACAGAAAGCACCTTGAGATTGCTGCTATCCCTCCTACTGGGGAACCCGTCAATTTACAGTTTCACAGACACAATGGAAATTGCGTACAAATTCAGTCTTTAAGAAAAATGACCTTATATTGTTCCTGCGGGCAAAATAAAGGTTTGGAAGCTCTTATAAACCATAGCAAACTCTGGAAGTACTCTCTTACAGCATATTGTAGCTGTAATGGGTTGACTTAATTACCTACAAACTGCTAACATTGAGCTTTTCCTTTTTACCCCTTAAAAACATCGTAATTATGAACTTCACTGAAGGGTAAATCAGCAGCATCTCTGTTGTTTATCCTTTTCCCCTTGTTGAGTATCATTGGCTTGAGAAAGAGTGCACTAAATATTCCCAGTTGATCTTAGAGGTGCCGCCCTCTCAATCCCTCTAGCCTCCAACCTCTTTTGTTTTGATTCCTCACCATCTGATCCAGCCCAAAGACAACAGAAAATAAGATTTTCATAGTAAACTCATTGGCTTTGAATGGAGTAGTCTTTCTAGTTCTTCCTGTCTTTTTTTTTGTTGTTGTTGTTATCGTTGGTTTGTTGGGGTGTTTGTTAATGGCCTCATCATAAGTTATTACTGTCCCCTCATTTTTCAGAGACAGGTGGTGATATAGTTTTAAAAAATAACTATTTTGTTATAGATCATAATATGCATAAAACTGTACAGAAATATTTTGTAATCTATTGATTTTAAAAGAGAACATGTAAATACAGTAAAGTTAAATAATAAAAAAAAAAGAATTCCAATGGCACACATTGAAAGATGTAGATATTTTGTTATTTATTTAAAGGATTATTTTATGAGATACTGAACTATCTGAAATTGACCAGTAATCCAAGTTTCAAAAAATCCAAATGCTTTTTTCATGTTGTAGAATGTGATCTCCAGCAATCATTGCACTACCCATTTTTGCACCCTTCTGTCTTTCATTTAGCAGAACAACAACAAAAAAAAATTGTGCCTTAGCTGTATTTTCTGTCTAGGGGAGTTTGTTTTTTGTCTGACAATGCGAGATTTTTTGCAGAAAACAGTGGATGTATTAAATACTGTATCATACCAAAAACACCACAGGTGTATATAAATGCTTTCTGTCATACTGTGTTTTCAGATGCAGAATTTTAAAATTAAAAAAAAAAGAAGCTATCTTTGTGTAATCGTGTCAGTGTGACTTATTTTCAGTGCTTTTCCAAAATTTTGAACTATGATTTGTAGGACAGAGCCATCATTTCAGATTCTTCCCACTCAGATCTTTGCTTCAGATACATGAATAATAAATCAATCAGCAAGCATTTACTAAGAGCCTAATATGTGCCAGGCATTGGTGCTAGGTTTTGATGAGCTTATGTTCCATCAAGGAAGACAACATGTACATATATAAATGAATATGAGTGACCAATCGTGCTGTCAAGCTAGGCAGGCCATCATTCATCCAATGAATGGATGTATTATATGGTACCCACATTTTACCTGATTATATCCTAGGTTCTTGTTGGGTCAAGCCTCAGGAGAAGTTTGTGGCCAAATAATATTCTCTTTCTTCCACAAGTCATACTGTATACTCAAATATGCAGCTGAGGCCCTGGTTTTCACTGACAAAATACAAATTTGGATTTTTAAAACCCTAACCATTTAAATATGCTTCCCTCTTGGGACTTTGTCCTCTCTCAGCAATCTCACTTGCTACTTTTCAAGTAAGCAGAATTGGCACAAAATCAAATGGCCATCCAGATTTTAATATACTTAGACATTTGGAGAAAACAATTAAAGTAATAAGGTTTACCAAAATAGTTTTAAAAGCAACCATAGTCTGCTGCCACTAGTGAGGGTTGGAGGGGGGCAGAGTGGGGCACAGGAAAGGTAGTGAGGGGAGTCAGAAGTATCAAAATAGACCTTGTCTCTATCCATTTCTCCATTAGGCAAAGCAAGGGATTAACCAAGGTGGGTAATAGGTGAAAGGGGCTCTGTCCCCAAGGAAGGCATGGAGGAAAAAGCCTGAGTAATCAATCTCTCTAATAACCCTGATCCTGTAACTCGGATGGTCTTTGGTTAATTCTGGGATTCTATCTCTGGTTTCTCAGTGGCTGCATCTTTCACTAAGGAACAGCCATGTTTGATGTGTACTCAGCTCAACCCACAGTAGTAGAGTTCATCACATTGACTCCAGTTGGGACACTGCTGTGATTCCAGCCATTATCCATCCGTCCACCAGGTCACAGTCCTTGGTCCTCTGTGCGTGCTTCTCTGGATCTTGTCACTTCCTTGGCTTCTATCCATGGCCTACTTTCAAAGTCAGGGTCAAAAATAGCTCTGCATATTTTTCCCTAGCTTAAAGTCTGAAACCTCTGGGATTTTAGAAAGCACTAAAAGAGGGTCCTGTTGGTAGCTCCAGTCCTATCAACTCTTGTTCTATGTCCAAGCATTTGGGAGGAGCTCAGAAAGGTGGGATATGCATTTGTGTTTGTGTATATGTGTGTGTGTGCAGAGTAAATATAAGGTAAATGATAGTTCAATACTTGGTAGTTAGTATAGAAGGGACCTTAACAGTTGAAGGGATCAGGAAAGTCATCATAGAGAAAAGGGTTATTGAGGTCTGTCCTGATGGAAGTTAGGGGTTCTACAAAGCAGAAATGAGGAAGGAGTTAATTACAGGCATGGAAGACAGCCAATACCAAAGCAAGAAGATAGGGTAGCAAAGTCATTCACCAAAAAAAAAAAAAGTTAAATTGTTTTAACATGTAATTAAGACAAAAAGTATTATTTTTTAAAAAAGGAGAAAGTAGGAGAAATAGTGTCATGTGTGAAGAACAGGGAGAAATCCAGTTTGGCTGAACCACAAAGTGAGGGAAAGGGAACAATATATAATCAGTCTAGAAAGATATTTTGGCTTTGAAGAGCCAGGGGGATTTACTGAGTACAGGAATGGTGTGGTCAGATCTGCACTTTTCAAAGACCTCTTTGGCAGTTATATGGAAAATAAATGGAGTAAGGAGAGACGAGGCAGGGACACCATTTAGGAGGCTAATATGATAGTCCAAGGAAGAAGTATTAAAGATCTGAACCAATATGGTGGCTGTTTGAGTCAAGAGAAGGAATTAGATGCAAGTGGCGCTGCAAAGGAAAATGATCAGATATGTGAAGTGAGGGAAACAGGAGCTGAAGTTAATGCTGAGGTTACAAAGCAGAGAAACTAGAGGAATGGCCGTGC